TTGAGTTATTCCGCAACATTGGACTCATCGAAAGGGGGTATCAATTGTTTCATTACTTCTTCGCCACTCATTAATTGATGAAAACGTGTCCATACTTTACATAAACTGTTTGTTTGTATTTATTTTTATACTTTTCTTATATTGTAAACAAATCTATAGGCTATTACCGGTAAAACAAATTTACCCAGAATATACAGAATACAGTATACTGTACAGCTAGTTAGCATGGATTAACAGTACCGTAATACGGGTATTATAATCTGATAAATCTATACATTTTAATCAATATGTAGTGAACAGTTTAGTCAGTAATTAAAAAGTGCTGTAAATCACGAGCTGTAGCTCATGACACGAGTTGTCCATTAGTTGTCCACTTGTATTGATCATCTCATATGTATGTCTCAGCGGCTGTTCATTTCTGGACAAATGCATTGTCGCCGAAAAGAGCGAAATGATTGGAGTAATCATATACGACAACAACGACCACAACGATGACCTGTACATCGAGATGGTGGCCGACACCTCTTCGCGCAACTGTTCCATTCCGGCGGCCTTTCTCTTGGGTACCAATTCTCATGAAATCTCATTTAACTTCAGTTCAAATAGAGTTGCTTTGAATTTAATATTTTAGTCTTTATTTTGTTTGAAAATATTGATTGTAATCCTCTTTATTAAACTTTAACTACAATTGCTTTCTATAAATAATAGGAAAAGACGGACATATGATTAGACGGGCATTGGATGCGTTGCGTCTGAATCGAGCCGTCGTTAACATTCCCATTAATATCAGTCACTTGCCATCGAAGATACGACAGCCTCCTTGGGTTGTCTGGTAATCATCACTCATCACATCCAAGATATTTATCGAATTATTTTATTTATATTCTAATTCTACAGATTGTTATAAATTGATATAAGTTTAATAAAAATATTTTGTTACATATTTGTCAACACATTTGATTCAGAATTTCAATGAAAATGAGTTTCAAATTATTGAGTATTTGAAATATTTAAAGATCTTTTGGCTCCACTTTGCCC